AAGCAATTAATTGGCTGCCGGTCAAATTTTTTGTTTCATGCCTTTCTGGTGTCAGAATTATTCAATTTAGAAATGCATTTACTTCTGAGTTTGGATTTTTTTTTTATAGTTTCTTGTTTGTGCTATTTGAAAAGTATTTTTTTTTTTTTGTCTTTTACATATTTTCATTTAACAAAATGGCACGAACTTTCTTTATTAGGCATTTTATTTTTGGCACTAACAAAAAACGCAAAAATTTTTTTTCCCTTAAGTTAATGTTGTGTTGTTGGGCGTACTAAAATTGTTATAAGAGTTCTTTTTACCACTGTTTACTTTTCTGTCATCACTGTATCCGAAAAATTCCAGTTTTGCTTTATAAAAAAATTTCTTTCTGAATTTTTATTCCTATAAATTTCCTAAAGATCTTGAAATAGTTAATTTTTTCTAGTTATCTATCTAATTTTTCATTTATTTGAAAGGTTAATCATAACTTTAAAAGTTAAAATGTAGCGTCGAAGTGATAAACGATGATTTTACTATAATTTTTGGTTAGGTTTGAGATTGGGAAGCATACCATCAGCAGGAGTTCCGGTGGTGTCTTCAATTGGATTGCTTCTTTTGTTTTCGCATCGGCCGATTCTCAAAACATTTTGACATTTGATTTTTTATAGGAAAAGTAAAAAAAAGAAAAGAAGAAACCTGCATGTTGTTTTAGAATACTTTTTATTGCTGAAATTTACTTTTAAATAATATACGTTTCAGTTTTATCTTTTAAATTACGAAGTTTTGTTTCTCCTCTCACCTCTTTTTTCGTCTACCAATACTCTACGCCTTCACCCATCTGAACACCCGGTTTTGATCATTTTCTGACTGCTTGATCAAAACTTAGCCGTCCTTATAAAACTACAGACTATATTACGGATATCAAAATTGCAAACACGCATTTACAAGAATGGAAACAGCATTATTTTGCGTAGTCACTGGTAGGAGACAGTACTCATTCGCGGACATTTATAAACAGTTCTGAAGTGTTGGCATAGGAGTTTATAACGATTTTCCATGGCTATGTTCTTTTGTTTTTCGAAGAATTCATTAAGTTTGACCGTATTTCGGCATAAACTGTTCAATTCCATCAAAGGTTTATGACGACTACGACAGGTGCATCGCAAAAGCTTGCTACTGAGATTATTTTTATCAGTCATTTATGTGTCATTGTAATAAAGGCGACTGAAGTGTTGCCAAACTTTATTAGATACATTTTCATTGTTGCCATCAAAAGTTTCGATAAGAAGCCTATTATTTTTTAAGAGAAGAGCAGTAATATTAAATTCAGATACGTATGCTTTTAGTAAATTCTGAAGGGGATTTTACAACCAATTTACCTACTTAATTCTACGTTTCTTAAAAGTTTTAAATTTTTACTCATATTGTTAAAGCTCTGAAAAGTGGTAAAAATTTGATAAAGCTGAATTTGCTATTTTGAAAGGCAAATACTTTTTGACTGGAATGCTGATGACATTTTCTCATTTTTAATATCGTTTGGCTACTAATAATTGCACACTACA